AATATGTGCCACTTGAAAAAGTGATCGCATATAAACATTACTCCAATTATTCCAATTCAAGCAACAAGCCTTCATCCACAAGCATGCAAGCAGCTATAGCATTTAAGCAATTAGCCTCATGGCAAGCATGCTAGACATGACAACATCAACACTCATGCAATTATGCTAAAACGAGTAAAAGGCTCACCTAGTACTCCAAGCCAAAATAAACAAAAGAGTTAGAAAAATGAATGATCCTAACTATGCGATATGACTAATGCAACACATGCGATATGCAATTAAATAGGCTCGGCTACTTAACATTGCATATGAAACAATTTGATAGCATGTGATCTAAGCATGTATTCAAAGAAGTATTGAACTAACAATACAGTTAGAATGATGCGTCGAGACTCGGTGCATGTAGCACAAATGGATGCAGACATGGAGAATGCTAATTGAAACGTGATGTCCCTGAACTAACCATCATAAGTAGTTAAATGAAAGGGAAAAAGACGTGGGATTGGAAGACATACACATTATTACATTGTGCTCTCACGAAGGAGAGTCCAAATGAATTAACTAACTAGCTAACTAATTAAAGCTAAGCTAATTAAGTTAACTATTACAAACCGAAATGAACAAACTAGCTAAGCTACATAACTAATTATTACAACATTTGTATTAACTAACTAGTTAACTAACTAATTAAATAATTACAACGCAAGTGCAAGTAAAATAAGTAATTAAACTAAACAACTAGCTACTATGCCTCGGGAAACGAGAGATGTTCATGAGCATGCTCGGTTTCCATCCGAAAAGATCACTATTTTGCTTCTGAATGCCTTTGTTTGCACAGTTGAACACCAACACTGTTGCCCACTTCCAGAATAACTCTGCTCCACCTTACCAACACACTGCTCAATTTTGCATCAATGGCCGGTCGGCCAATGATGAAGGTTGCCGACCACACTACTGGCCACCTGTCGGCCATGAAAAGTGGTCTGTCGGCCATTGCTACACAGGTTTATCTTGCTACAACAGAGGACAAACAGAGCATATACATGGCATTTCAAGGGTTTGTTTGCACAACTCACCCCTCATTTTCATGAGCAAATCAAAGGAGTAGCAAGTTCGGTTCACAAACCATCAATGAATGCAATTTCATTGCATGATGGCTTGTGAAACCAAGTGTGCAAGATCAATAAATGCAAAACATGACACAAACCTCCTCCCTTTCATGAATGATCAAGGGAAGTGGTGACCTTGGAACCTTGAATCATTTTATCACTAATGAGTATGAAATGGTTCAAGTTTCCATGTGTTCAATTAACGTCCGATTGAACGCAACTAAATTATTATCTTACTCACTTTTAATTCCAAGTTTTAGTTACTCCATTTTAGTTACCTTTCCATCCTTTAATTCAATTAAGTCCATGGGTGTGTTTAAGTCCTCTAATGGAAAGAGGACTTAAACCAAAAGTTGTTTTAGGCATGAAAGAGACATCATACCGTTGGTAATGAACCCCCTAAGGGATTAAACCATTAAGCATGACATCTCAATCTCATGCTTTAAACAAACAAATAGTTTGAACCACTTTCAAAGTAAAATAAAAAGCCAAGAAAGGAGGGAAGTTGCAGAGATGATTAAGTGTTGAAAATGAGTGAGAAAAGCATAAATAAATGCTATCAACTCAAACAAGATGGTGTCTAAGGCCTAGAACACCAAGCTTATGGGGACTATTACACTATAAACATGCAAAACAAAGCTCAAATGCAACTAACAGCTCAAAACAGTGCTAAAAAAAGTCCAAAACAAGTCCTAAAACATGCTGGACTTGAGCTAGAAATAGCTAGATTAACATGCTAAAACATGGCACAAACTAGGCTAGTAAGCAAGACACAAGGAGAGGAGGCTAACCTCTCTAAATTTGGACTTAAAAACATGATTTTGGCCACCAAAAAAACTTTGAAAACCAGTGTTTAAAAGCTTGAAAAAAGATATTAAAAGGGTGGGAAACACAAGGGCAAAGGCCTCCAAAGCAAGGTATAAAGAAGGGCTATCAACCCCTCAACCTTTAATGGCCTTAAACCCAAGCTTCAGCCCAAAAAATACCGAGTTTTGATAGCCCAAAACAATGGAAAAATAGTAGGAATAATAGCAAATAAAACAAAGCTACAAGCAAAGTCTTCTACCTCTTGAAGAGAAAAAGCAATTCCAAGCAACAAAACCAAGTAAACACACCCTCTAGAGCTCAAACGAAGCTCAAAATTACCTCATCTCAAAGATGGTGAGATTTTGTTAAGGGTATATAGGCAAAGGTTGACAATTTGTAGGCAAAAGTGTAGATATTTTGGTAGAGAGAGAGGAAAATATTTTATCTCAAAATTTTTTAACCTTAAAACATGAGAGAGAGGCCTTCTATATATAGAAAACATGAAATTCTCTCAAGGAGATCCAGCCCTACATGTGGGGATAGATGCATGCATCTGTGCAAACAGCTGGCACAACTAGCATAAAATATCTGTAAAATACACTAGTGGCCGACCGGCCATTAATGGTGGCTGGCAAGCCACATCAGTGGCTGGCAACCTCAACAGCTGTAGACACCCCATTTTTGACCGTCCTCAAGACTTGGACGTCACCGTTTGAACACTCGGTGATCATCCATGATCGTGTTCGTTCAGAGTTCCCGGAGGTCTCGGCTCGCGCGCCCTGCCTCAGGATCTCCGAACTTGACCGTTTAGTGTCTGGTTTTGCACCGAACACTTGTGTTGAGTCTGTCTATTTGTCTTGAGTGTTTCAATTTGTGTTATGGTCTGTCTTGTTGTATCGAGTCAGTCCCCTTTGTATAGAATACCAGGTGATTCTGGGGTTGTTGCCTCGAACACCGTTTTGTCTTGTAATTACCCGTCTTTT